AACTTGGCGCATTATCTGCCAGGGCGTCACGCATCTCTGTAAGTTGAATTGAATTGAAGGCGAAATTCGCACCTTGTCTTTCAGCCGAAGATGCGGTCCGCCCTTCAAAAAATTGATCACACGATCGCCCTCCTTATGAATGTCGTTCTTAAGGTCCTCGCTAAGCAAATGCAGACTTAAATCCAAGCGTTTCGAGAAGCCCTCCATATTTTCTTCGATCACCGAGGTAATATCGCTCCGGAATTCCTTGCGCAGCGCCGCCAGACCCTGGTTATGCTGCTCTTGCGGTCCTGCCCCGCCCATCCGAGGCCTCCCAGGGCCTGCAGCGTACGTGGATTGGATATTATGTGTGGTGGTCTGATCGTCCTGGAGCTTGAGGAGCATGGAGCATTTGGCGTCATCCGCCATGACTTTGTTCACGCTGACTTCGTCAACCCCTCCGTTTGCGGCAAAGAACGCCTCAATCATGCGGTCTTGCGGGCTTTTGAATGATTGGAACTCCTTCATGAATTGGTTGTGCATCCTTGAAGAAAATCAAGGTGCTGAACATATAAGATAGAGCCGCACAACATACTCTTTTAACCTGTGTTGGCGTCAATAAACTGTCCGGCGTTGAGGAAATACAGTGGCGACTTACATAGTGCTCATGTCTTGGATTGTCGTCGCGGTATTGAGCGTAAGCGCGAACTGAAGCTCCTGGCGGCGGGTCGTGAACCTAACCTTGAAGCCTGCAAGCTTGTCGTTCCACCCTGACGCCTTGCAGAATTTGACAATCAGGGACTGCTTCTGCATCGCATCCAGAGCTCAAGAAGGCATCTCCGTAAGATTTCTGAGGGAAGTCAGGAGGAGTATACGCACTATTATAGCATTCTTCAATATCCTTTTTCATCTGCTGACCAAGAGCCGCAAGCCGCGTCACTACGGGCTGACCGTCGGGCGTCTGCCGTTTATCGTCCGGAGTGATGCCCACTCCTTTCATCCTGCATATTGTGAGGCTGCGACAGTCCCCCAAGCCAGTAAAAACTCACTCGACGGTTACAAGCATGACGTCCTTGATTGTCTCAAACAGCGCTATTCTGCTCCTGGGGAAGAGATAAGAATATTGTCATGAGTAACGAGTTGTTTTGGAGTACTTCTCGTTATCATGCCGCTTCATTTCCTGTTTGTATGCAAACTGGAACGGTAAGAATGCAGCTGGAGAAATATATGTACCGTGAGCCGCTGCCCCGATGACTACCAGAATTTCACGCGCACCTGCCGCGAAAGGGTGGACCTTTGAAAGGCCCTCGAGCGCACTCATGAGCGCCGGTACCCCATTGAGGATGGCTTTTCCGAATTCTTGCACCTCTTCATTTGCGGCAATAGTTTTAATAGTCGCAACGATGCCAGTCGATGCGGACGCAGCTGCCCCTGCGTACATGGATTAATAAATGGGCAAGGCCGACCGCAACGAACGCACCTGCACCATTCTCGACTTTATTCAAAAGCTTTTCGGTCGTGGAGACGTTTCCATTTGGATTGTTGACCGCTTTCCATATCTTTTCCTCCGTGGAAACTGCGGTTATCGTAACGGTTGCGGACATTGGCCCCGGTTGAGTGCTTCCAGTGGGGCCCGCGGTCCCACTTGGTGCCTGTCCGTTGGCCTTCGAAAATGCAGTCTCATCTGAGAAACTGGATGGCGATACAAGACGCACGGGCAGAGTCATTCCGCGACGCATCTCTTCCCGGGTAGATGCAGAATCTTCCCCATTGAGAGCACGCGGAGTCAGAGTCGGCACGGGGGGGGCGGGGTCTTGATCATCGTCAGAATGGTGGTTTTTTAGGTTGTGGTGGGAGATGCGATGTAAAAGACGCTTCATCCTGGCGGACGACAGAGACGAATGGTTTGCTTAGTGTGGAGGAAATCAAGGAGCGATCCTTGTATATATGGGTTGCTAATTGCGAGGCGATGCGCCGTGCCTTACAGCGTGTGAGGGCGTCCCGCGAAGATCGCCTTTTAGGGTGCGCGCTGTGCGTAAAGTTTGATCGTTGATCCCAAATGGGCGCTGATAGGCGCCAATATAATGATGTAGCACGTATCGGTGCCACCAAAAACTGCCGTCGATCAAGAAGCTCGCAGTTTTTTGTGCGCCGGAGGTCTGAGACAGTCCGAGCCTTGCGGATACTCGTCGAACAGGAAGTGATGTAACTTTAACGGATCGTGCCAATCGGAGTCCATCAGTCCAAGTTGCAAGGATACGAAGCACATCGAGAAAATGAGTAGACATACAGTATTATGCTGGCGAAATTTATCCCATCTACCAGGGATCGATAAATTTCTAAAAAAAGATGGGCCGTAACCAGGCGCAGAAATTCAAGGATCTGTAAAGTTTGGCGCGTCCGCCAGGCCCTGCCAAGGAGAAAACTGCAAGACCGCTGGCGGAGGGTACGTGAGCTCGACATGAAGGCCACTCTGCAACAACGACTGCAGTTCCGGTCTAATGTCAAGCACCATGTCCCGCGCAAAGCGGATCACAACCCGCTTCAGCGACCTCGATTTGATGAAGCGCAAGAGCGCCTCGTCGGAAAAGGAACAGCAGTAGTTTATCTCCAGCGCCTGCAGGCCTGGGCACCAAGGCGAGGGGATGTCGGGCGAGGGAGTGAGAGACCCTAAAATGTCGTCGTCGAAAATGTCAGAGCCCACCTCCCGCCATCGAATAGGGAATTCGTTGACATCGATTTCTCGAATGGTGGGCGGCAGACCGCGAAGGAAATCGGACAGAGACGATTTTGAAAACAATTCAATGTTGATATCGAGGCTTTCGATGCGCGGAGCGGCGGCGAGGAAGGGGGAATATAAAATATTGTCGTCGTGATTCGCATTTCCACGAAGCTTGCAGTGCCGCAATTGTGGGAACGAGAGCCGGCCGAACAGCTGGCGAATGGTTGAGGAGAGCGTGCCAACACATTGCAGATCCAGGGTATGAAGGAAGGAAAGCTCAAGAACGGAATCTGCGACTGTGCTGCCGGTGTCGGGACCGTCGTGAACGAGCAGTCGACAGCTGCGCAGCTGAGGGCAGCGGGAGAATACCTGCAGCGACATCTCGCTCGTCATTGAGGGCCCTCCAGCGGTCCATCTTTCCGCGATCGAAAGCTCTCTCAAACCATCCCACCGAAGCGGCAATTCCACGGGGTTAAAACTGCTTCCCATGATACTGAAGGAAGAGATTTCTTGGCCGCGAAGGAATCCCAATGAGCCCCATTGAACGATATCCTCCGAGGGTTCGTGGATCTCGCTGATGCTGACCGACTTGAGCCTCGGCACGTCTGTCTCGGTAAGATGCCCGATGGTCGCCAGAACAGAAAAGAGGCTTGTGAGGGTGATGTGCTCCCAACGGGATGCGAATGGGACCAGGGCCTGAATGAGGTGGCTTTGGGTCGCGGAAGTGAAGCCGGTACGGTCAAACGTGGATTGTAAAGATATGGAGAGGGGGCATTGGCCAGATCGACCGAGCCACATCTTGGTAACCTCGAGTCGCTGCGCCAGCTTGTCTTCGAATAGCGGAAGGGCGGAATCGAAGGGGCATGTGGGCTCTACGATGTGAAGCCGCGACCACAAGCGCGGCGTTGAGAGGGAGATTGCTCTCCAAGCTCTACATATGCGCCCAAGGAGGACGGGCGCATCCATCGCACTCATGGCGCAGTTACGGTGCGTTGGAATGCATGCTACAAAGATTTCTTGGATGATGTCGAGCGGAAGTCTTCGAACCGGCGAAATGAGGGCCCTGTGGGCGTCTACAAAGGCGCTGAGCCCGGCGCGTTCCTCCGCGAGCTTATCGAGCGCCTTCTGCAAATCGGCGATTTCATCGTCGAGACGCTTCAGTCGGAGGATGGGTTCGGTTAGAAGGGCTTGTATTTCCTCTACCTCCTCGTCCTGGGGACAATAATTGGTCCCTAGCTGTGAGGTGAACGGAGACGACATGAAGGCTTTAGGCGGAGGCGGTGCATGTCGCTAACACGACCACGTGAATTGATCGTGAATTGATGGCGCGTTGGCGCGTCGGTGATTGGGCACATCGAATCGATGGGTAAAGCTGCCGCGTCGCCTTACCAGAAGCTGAAATGGCGGAATAGGAAAGGACCTATCTAACAAATAATGAATAGGAGAATTTATGTATCAAACTCACATCTTTACTTCGAAGAGCCCCAGCGTTTCCGAGTGACAAAAGAATCGTTATAGTTTGATAAAGCGAGAACTGAAGGAATCGCGCGACTGCCTGGAATTAGCAGATATGCCTCAATTTCTGATTCATGTACCTGGTTTTGACACGGTGGGGAAAGCCAGTTGGCCGGCGCAGATAGCATACTCTTTTTCCCGGATAAAGACGTATTGGACTGCCAGAATTTAGAACTCATGCAGAAGTACTCGAGACGTAACCTCACTGGGGAGAGGGGCGCAGAGCCAGGGTCACCCGTTGCAAAAAAATTACCTAGGGTGTAAATCGCCATCTTTCGTCTGCAAAGGAATAGGAGATCTCGGATAGCTATGCCACCATCCAGATCAGCGGCCATCGTGCCAGCCGTTAGCGTTCTAGCAGTAGAGCGGAGAGCAAGCGAGATCCTCATGAAGCGAATTAGTTCGATAGAAAGCTAACGCACGAGTGTGCGAGTCGTGGAAGTTAAGAGCAAGACAGTCCGGCGGATGCCGAGCTCACGTGGCGAAATCAACGAGGGTGTAACTTTAACTTTCTTCTCTTCAGGCATCCGAACCATACAGCGCTTTGCTTGGTTTTGCCTTACAATACGGATTTCAATTTTGCCCCGATAAAAGGAGTAATATAAGAAGCACGCAAAAAACAACCGCGGAAAAAAGGCAAACAAGGCCCAGCAACATCCGCAGCCTTAGGAGATATGCTGACCATTACATCACTGGACCATTGCATACCCTCCCCCGAAATCAATGGAAGACCATTATTTTTTCATGAGTGAGAAAAAAGAAGAAAAAAAGAGGTCCCTACAGACGGCCTGACCTTGATTCGAACAAGAAACCTCCCAACATATCTTCGGAAGCAAATTTTATGAGAAAGGGATGTGATACCGTTTCACCACCGGGCCTGTGGCTACTTTGCTTACATTTGCCTATACGTGCACGACCTCTAGGATTATTCTAATCTGGTTTCATCCGTAGCAACTGAATAAATTGGCCCAAAGATGGGGCTATGGAGGGACTTGCCAAGGAGAAATTGGACGCATAATAGACTGAGACAAAGGCAGGAAATAAAAGCCAGACACGCCGAAAACACGCCAGGGTGGAGTTCAATGCGTAAATTTGAGAATCAGAGCTGAGTGTTCAAGCCGGCACAGATTCGGGGCTCTCCCGAAAGTCGAAATTCAACGCAGAAGATGCAGTGAACTGTCGAGCTGAACAATGGAAGTGCAACCATAGAGGTGGATACCAATTTTAGCGGTGCGAAATACAAAGAAGTGAAAAAAAAAAAAGCCTCACTATATGGCTACTATGGCCTGACTTTGAATCGAACAAGGGACTCCTGCTTAACCCACTTTAACCTTCATTAAATAAAGCAGGTGTGTTACCACTACACCACCAAGCCACTTTCTGCATTGCCTAAAAGAAGGCCATGTACATGATCTCTAGAAACAGCATAAAGAAAGGAAAGGAAGGAAAAATAAAAAGAAAAGAATTCACATAGGAAATGGCCTGGCCTTGAGTCGAACAAGGTGCTCCTGCCGAAACATTCCGTTTCGCCTATATAAAACGGAGTAGGTATGTTGCCGTTACACCACCAGGCCGACACTATTATGAGTGGCTGACTTAATATTAAATGTCGAATGAACGTTCTGCGAGCTGTGACTTGGAAGTTGGATTTCGGTTGAATTAAATGATATGTACATGTGCAATTGAATTCACACGCCCGCACTTGGGAATCCGACTCGGAATTTCAATAGGATAGGTTCAAGATACAAACGGCTGTCTAAGAACGGTAGAGTAGGATTGGTGCGAGGCGGATACAGGTGAGATTCAAGGACGCCAAGTTCCCTAAATGCCTGATTATCATTATCCGGGACAATCTCGCATGATGATAGCGAGCCTAGGCGTACGAACGAGTCCAGCTTGAACCTGAGAACGCCCACTTGGAATGAGGTGGGTGAGCTTGGCCTTCAAATCGCGCATGATGGGGACACCAAGGATCGACGCGAGGCTTGTGGATGGTGGTCTCGGCTTCGTAGACGGTTGACGGGAGCTGGGTGTATGCGGCGGGTGCAGACGGAGACGAGAAGGAGAGTCCCGAGCGCCTAGATGTTTCGTGAAGAAGTGCGAGATGCGAGCTGAGAGATACTTAGAGGGCCGAGCTGTGGGCGTCCAAGTCGCGAGGTCTGCGCACCACACGACGCGCTCAAGGGTCGATACGCAGAAACGGGGGGCGTCCTCGAGCCGACGTGTTGAAGGCAAATGGCAGATTCGGTCCACGGATCATTGGGAGTCCATTTAATAGTGATTTACGCGTACTTGCGGCTGCCTTGAGAGCGGGTTCGAGTAGCCACATTCAGGACTCTGAGCTCGAGTCAGGTGGACTTTATTCATTCCCGGGGATAAAGGTTCCAGCGACAGGCACTGGGCGCGTGGTGTATCCTTCAACTCGTCCAGTGGTTGCCAATACTAATAGTCCGTGCGCGGCTGGGGGAATGAACTGGCGAGATGGGAGGACGAAAGGTGAGATCGTCACGCTTGTCACGGGTGACGGCGGCGACCAAAGTACTCTCACACTCTTATATCCACCACATTATGGTGCTCCTGAACGAACACGTAGTTGTTGGCTCCGCATCGAACACTGGCCGGATGAAGAAAGGAGAAGGACTTGAAAGACAAAAACACTGGTCTTTTGGCGGAGTCGTCCCGCCGACTCGTCCGTCCCCGACTTCGCTATAGCATGACGCGGCAACACTAGCGATTCAAATGGAAGACAAGCATCCGTGTGTCCTCCGCGTCTTCCCTCCGTTCTTAGGCTAACAGCTAGTTTTACAGCAGTACAGTGCCGTGCGGTGACATCGCCGAGTACCAGGACACCGCGTCAGACTCTTCGAGGGCACAAGTGGCGAGAGCGCTGTGAATCCTCAAGCTTCCTTGGATGCTGGCCCTCCTCTCCGCGCTTTCCCAATGACGCCAGGCGCATCCTTCTCCGACAATCTCTCTTAGAGCTATGTACTACGAGCCGGTAGCTCACCTCCTCACTGCGACGTTGCGGGCTCTATCCTCGCTGCACGAGGCGTTACTGCGGTGTCCGGCGTGGCAACGCACGGTGTCGATGTCCGCGTCTCGGTGCGTTTCGTGGCGTGCGCACCTCACTTTTCCTCTTTCTGCAAGCGGCGTGGTCTCTGGTCTTGGGCTGTGTGCGGAAGGCCCGGCGCGATGGCGGAGAGCTGTGGCCGCGATGATGGGCTAGCGCATGTACGAGCTGCCGTAGCTGGCCGGCGTCTTGTCTAATGCCATGGTGGGCCCCATTCGGCTGAGCGTGGCATCGTAGTCGATGGCTGGGGGTGCTCTCCCTGCCCTCCTTCTCGTGGTGTCGTGCTGTCCTTTCCGCGTGGGCATTCTTCCCCGGGGCATTGGCGAGGCTGCTTTCTTTCTCTCGTATGGGTCTGGCGGCGGTAGGCGGGGCGAGGAGGAGGGCTGCGCCACGCATTGCTGGCGGCCTTGCTTACGGGGGAGGAGATCTATGTCGCGGATCCCGGGCGCGGCACCGTCGCATGATGCGGGGCTTCATCCCTTGAGCCCATGTGGACGAAAAGCCATCCTCTGGGCTCACTTCTACACCCCTCTGCGCCTTGCCTCCATTGGGCTCTTACGACGAGCGGGTGGCACTCGCACACCCGTATCGCTTACGCCCGCACGTCCCACACTCGCGCATTTTGGCCCGCGGGGATATGAGTGGGTGCTAGGTCCGCGCCGCCGGCGAACGTCTTTTGCAGACTCGGGGGGGTCGTGGTCGGCGTGCAGCTCCCGGGCAGGCGGGACGTCGTTGCCTCCCTTCTCTCGTTTCTACTCAGGGCTGATATGGGCGTCATGGGCCCGCTCCTGCTCAGCACGGCCGTCCTCCTTCACCGCTCTTCCCTCGAGCTTGGTCGGGCTTTGGATGCGTGCTTGGAGATGAGAGCTCTGCGCTACGTGCCCGGGGATGGGAGCCCGGGGAAGTGGAGGCGCAGAGGAAGACGAGGGGTGGTGTAGTCGGCGTATGTGCGGTGTCAGACGGCCTCCCTCGCACGAAAGGCGCAGAGATGTTGTCGAGCTGCTGCTAGCGGGACCGAGAGCGCGATCCGATCCGGGTGCGGGGTGCCCCCATGGTCCGTGTGCGACCCGCTAGGCCAAGGTGGGAGGTACATGAGGAGAGGCCCCTCTTTCGCCGTTGACGTCGAGATGCGCGCGGCGTCAGGAAGCACGGTGTACGGGGCGCTGGGGAGAGGCAGCGATACACGGGTCCGTCGCCGCTGTGCTATTAAGCGTCGTGTCGCGTCCACACGTTATGCGGGGCGCTCGGCAGAGGCAGCGACATCTATCGCCCGAGGAGCACGTCGGGCCTCCCGCACTACGTGTGGAGAAACACCGTTGTGCGGGACGCTCGACGCTCGACAAGCGCGGTGTGGATGTGTGCCGGGACGCTGGAAGAGACCTGCGGGACGCTGGGCGCAGACGCTGTGAAGGTCACATCAATATGTGTACGGCGTCCTGCGCTACGTCCCGCGCGCCTGGATGGTGGGGTGCGCTCGACGACAGCAAGCTCGTCAGTCTGACTGAGCGCTGCATTATAGGCTTGTAGGCACGTGTGGGTGCCAGGGTACTCTCTGCCGCCGCTCTTCGCCGCGCTTACTTTCGGCGGGCACTCAGAATTTCTCCTTATCATTTGTCAATTTAAATCGATGGTATTCTCAGAAGCTATCCATCAGAATTCGATTCGGTAGATTATTTTGTAAACCTGGTTAATGTATAGAGGCGTGTATCCCGACTCCGTCCCGCCCTGTTTACTCCGAATACTCCAATAAGAGCAAAATCAATAACCACGAGTTAGCGTCGGAAGCCCTGGTGTTAGGCTCGAGCCTGTCCACTGAAAGTGAACTGTCGCCTCGCACTAACATGGTACAATATGACCACCGTGTGTACAAGACTACAACCAAGCACCTTGTTTGTTGGAAAATGGAGCCAGATCTGAAAGCCTTGCAAAGATAGTCAATCCAAGTTTCCGAACACGGGATTGGTTCAATGTACCTTTATGCGAATACGCGATAAGGTGCAGGCACTTAGGGAGCTTGGAAGAAGTTCGGCGCATCCCCTAGGCCTATCCAAGGGGAAAAAGACATCCTAGGTGCATGATAAGTGAGTGCGAGATGAAGCCCATTCTTCACCAAAGGCTCTAGTTCCGGGCGAATATCGAGCTCCATAGCCCGGTCAAAGCGGATTACAACACGCTTTAGGGCCCGCGATCTGATGAAACGTAAGAGTGCTTTGTCGGAAACGGTGCACGAGTAATCCATTTCCAACTCCTGGAGGCCCGGGCAACAGGGAGTGAGGACGTCGGCAGATGGGCTGAGGGACTCTAAAATCCCATCATCGAAAGTCAGGCGTGAATCGTAGTAACCTGCGAGGAACTTGCTGATCTTGAGTTCTCGTAGGGTAGGCGGTAGATCGCGAAGGAAATTAACAAGAAGCGATTTTGAGAACAGTTCGATCGCAAAATCGAGCTTTTCGATGAGCTGAGCAGTGGCGAGCAATGGGGCATAGGGTACGTTGTCGTCAGCTGATATTCCACGAAGTTTTAAATTCCGCAATTGTGGGAACGAGAGCCGGCCGAAGAGGCGGGGGGCAGTTGTCCAGAAGGTGTCACAGTCTAGATCAAGTGTATGAAGGAACGAGAGCTCGAGAACGGGCTCTCCGATTCTGTTGCTACTATCAGGAGGATCATGAACGAGTAGGCGGCAAGTCTGCAGTTGAGGGCAGCGAGAGAACACCTGCAGTGTCATTTCGCTCGTCAAAAATGGTGCTTCAGAACTCCATTTTTCTACGATCGAAAGGTCCATCAACCTATCCCATCGTAGTGGCAATTCCAGAGGGCTGAAATTGCTTCCCATTAAGTTAAATGAAGAGATTTTTGGGCCGTGAAGGAAGTCCATTGAGTTGTATCGGTCGGCGGCAGCAATGTGCTCCTGGATCTCGGAGATGGTGACCGACTTGAGCATCGGCACGTCCGCCGGTGTAAGGTGTGTCATAGCCGTTAGACTGGAAAATAGGGCCGTGAAGCTGATGTGCTCCCAACGCGATGCAAATGGGAGTAGGTCCTGAATGAGACGGTTTGGGGTCGCTGAGGTGAAGCCGGTATGGTCAAACGTAGATTGTAATGATATGGACAGGGGACATCGGCCGGATCGACCGAGCCACATCTTGGTGGTCTCAAGTCGCTGCGCCACCTTCTCTTTGAACATAGCAGGGGCATTATATGGGCAGGTAGGCTCCACTATGTGAAGCCTTGACCACAGGCGAGGTGTCGAGAGGGAAATGGATCGCCAAGAGCTGCATATGCGCCCAAGGAGCACTGGCGCTTCC